TGCCTGACTAAGCTGTGTGCTGATGGGTGGGGACTACTCCTTTCATAGCCTAATTTCCCACTCAGAATCCTGTTCCACTGATTACTACCAATTTTTTTTTTTGCACCAAGCTGTGTGCTGATAGAATTCAGCCACCTGCATATCAGCCAGACCAGAATAAAGCTGCTTTTTGTTTTCCACAAGCAAGGAGCTTTCCAGTGTATGTGCAGATGTTCCAACCTGACTTAGTGACTGCAGTTACTAACTCTAATGACCTGTGGATGTTTTCAAGTAGACTGAGCAAGTAAAACAGTTCTAAAAAATGCAATCCGAAGTTCAAATCTGCATTACTGAGATGCACAGAAGGGAAAGGAAATTGTTATAGAAACAGATGAGGGAAAGAAACAAAGACTCTTCAGTATCAGTTCCTCCATTTTGTCCACATCCTCACAATTAACAATGGAAGCAGTTTGAAGGCTGCAAAACTGCAGAACAGAATAGAAGCAGATGCAGGGACTTTAGGCATACTCTAGGTATGAGCAACAGCCTGGAAATAATGTATTAGTTTTTTCTGATTTGCAAGTATTTTAAATTCCTGTCTTCAATTCAGTGACACTTTCAGTAGCACTAGTCTCAACACAACTTTTCCTGTGTATTTACCAGAGAGCTGTAGAAGAAATGAATGTAAGGTACAGAAAGAGACGTGTAAAATGGACTACTCTGAATCAGGAGTGATACTATTGGTCAGCAGGAACTCCCAGCAGAAAAGTGAGCACTCTACAACAGAAGCCACTCCTGAAGTGCTGACAAGCACTTTCAAACAATTAATTAATAGACCAGATAATTTTTTTTGCAGCAGTGTTACACTTACCATGGGCCTCTACATTAATATAAATAAAATATATGAATGCGCAATAAAATCACTTGCTATGCAAGCAGAAATGACCCAAAAATCTTTGCATGAGAAACGATACATGAATGATGAATTTGAATGTTTAGAAAGATGTGTCAGTGTAGTATCTTTGGCTTGTAATTCTTAAATCGTTAAAACAAACTATCTCTTCAAATATGACCTACGTTGGAATAAGCTTCAGTTATTTCTAGGATGTTTTCTTTCTCAGAGCCTTCTGTAAACTTAGCTATAGGAATGATGGGTACTGCTTTGGCAAAGTGAATTCCTTTTCTTGAACTGAAGTAACAATACTGTTGTTACATAATCCTTACCAAAATGTTACCAGATATCCATGCCATTATAACCATGTCTTATGTTAGATGTTGGAATATTGTATCTTCATTTAAAATGGTAGCCTACCTTACATACTTTCACACACGAGAGATGTTACAATACACAGTACTGGCACATTCACCAGAGACAAAATGCCTTATTTGTGTATTCCTGAACTAAAATGTAACAAGCTACATGATGGATAAGTTTTGGATAGCATCAATAGCACCAGTAATAGATGAAACAACCACAAATACTGCTCTGGCATCTGAAGTCCAAAGCAGAGTTAGCAGTCAAGAAGGAATACTTTCGATTTTCTTCAGGGTGTCAGGGGCAGTCAAGGGTAAAGTGAAAATTTAGCACTTAGTAGAAACAAAACTAATGAACCAAAAGGATGGACAGTGTTCTTCAGTAACTATGCGGCTATTGCATAGTTTGGAAAACAAGGTTCAAGTGAAAATTGAGATTGAGTCACTCATGGAGATAGAAAAGTTATCATTAATCCAGCACTTTTTCCTAGATAGCCTCTCCTTTCAGATTTATATGATGAGCAATGGAAGGAAGCAAGTGCTTTCAAAACTAAATATCAATCTGTGTAACTAAAATTGATCTTTCTTCCAGTGACAAAAGCAAAACAGTAGTTATTTCTGCAGTCTTCCTTTGGAGAACTGAGTACCTCAGGAAAGTGAGTTCTTCCAACAGCTGCTGACTTTAGATTTTGCAGTCTGTATGCCACTCATGCTACTCTATGTGAGAGCGTGCAGCACTCAACTGTGTGTGTGTATATATATATCTACATGGATCTATAATGCCTGAGGGTAGGATGGTGTGGGAAAAGCTGTGTGAAAAAGTATGTATCCTTATTTTGTGGGCAAGTTTCTTACACTCTAGATCATTATAAAATTGCCCAGAAACATATCTACAATGTGACAGAAAGCAAGGCTTTGATTTCTTGTACAGGTAGTTGAAGCTCTGAATGTTTCACTATGCCCTATGTGGAAAAAGGATACTTACTCTTCAACCTGCTTATATGGGTTTTTTTTGGAAATCAGGTTGTTCTGAACACTGTGCATGGGAAAGCTTACATTTATTAAGTTAACTTACACAAAATACCTGAAAATAACAAGTCATAACAGGATGCTTTTTCTTTCCAGGAACCTTATACACAGCGTTTAGGACTTGCAAGAAATAGTATGCAAGTGTGCATTTATTTACACTTAAAACACTGCATATTTCAGTGTGATTTATTAAGGTGGTTTCTTTTCCATACACTTCATTAGAGCACTATGCTCATACTGACACAGGGGCTGAAGGCAGCAATACTGAACTAAGAGTTTATTTCTCATCTGAAAACTATGGCCATGTAGTTTTTCTGGGGGGTTTTGTTTGGTTTTCTTTTTAAACAAAGGCTCAAGGACTATTGGCTTAATTGGTCTCCAGTTCAGGATTATGATTAACCAGCTAGGAACTGTGAACATTTTCAGCCTTTTGTTGGGACTCAGCTAAGTTCTGTCACTTTAGTCACAGGTCAGTTGTTTGAGCACTAGACAGGATAGCACATTTATCAAAGTGCAAAATCAGTTTTGAAAGTCTAAATGACCCTGAAAACCTGCAATATAAAAAGGCACACAGGTTTCCTGCCAGACGTGCCTAGCATATGAACAGATAGATTCTCAGCACACAAAACCACTGCCCTTGTTGCCACAGTTGTCCTGTGGTGCTGAATTTGTACCAGGTGCATAATCAGCTCTGGAAAAAAACAGTAACAAAGACAATGACAATCTGAATGCTGGATATGGGGAACAGTTTGGAACAAAACTTTTAAAACAGAGATCACACATCTTCATCCCAGAATAATAATCACAATATTGTTTTCACATTCTATTCTCATTATCTCCAAAACAGTTATACTGGCAAAAAGACCCGTTGATTATGATGAAAGTGAACATTAGCCTTTTCCTGTTAGTAACAAAGAATGAATTGGTAGATACAGTATGTATTGTTGCAGTTTTTCCAAACTGATACCCAAAGTCAGACAGAAATCTAAAGAACAGTAGAAAAAACCTCAGTGCCTTGCATGTGCAACTATAGACTGGGAAATGGAACCTCGTTTTTGTTGTTTTTTTTACAGTTACATTGGCACAGCTCTGTTTACTGGCTTGCTCTCCCCTCATGGTCAGATAGGTGCATGAAATGACAACAGTCTCAGACTCCATCCCCCAGGAAAGGATCTTGTTAAAAAAAAATTAAATCTTGTTAAAATAAATGCCCAAGTGCTACAGCTATGTGCCTTTTGAACACTTCCAGGGATGGTGATCCCACCACGTCCCTGGGCAACCCGTTCCAGTGCTTGACTACCCTTTCAATAAAGACATTTTTCTGATAATCCTGTAAGTAGATATCCAAATGAGCAGCTCATCCACTATTTATCATTCTGTTAAAAAAAAAAAAAAATCAAACATTAAGTTACATTCCCAGAGGTTGTTCCTACCAAGGATTGAACCAGCAGTTTGGAAGCCAACTGCAGTAACCACTTTAAGACAGCAGCAGAGTCACAGAGTCCCCTGCATAGCCAAAGCACAAACATCATTGAAAATCAATTTCCCTTGCCTGTCTGAATTCAAAGGAATGCATAAGATCCAGGAGATTGCAAACAACTAAGCCTTCTGTAATTTGCAATTTCATGGCTGATCTCCTCTTTCTTCTCCTTGTTCCATTTTTTTAACAAAAAATACCAGAATAAAATACATCCATTTATAAAGACCTTTGAAACACTTTGGTCATTACTCAGCCTCAGGTTTCAGCTAGAGAGCTTCTACTGAAAAAGCAAATCACTACAGTTAAATACAAGAGGCAGTAGAACACACATAAAAGAACTAAATACCTGCAGAAGTGTTTAACTGTTAGGTCAGAGTAATATTTAACCAAACTATAAATTTAGTAGTTGAATGCAGCATTTAAGTGAAGACCAGTTTTAGTAACAGAAGTGGTTAAGTGCCTAAATTGTACTGAGATAAAAAGCTCTTACAGGAACACAATATGAGCTATTATTCTATGCTTTAAGAAACTGGTTATGTTACAAAACTGCTTAATAAGAGCTTTAATATTTTGAAATTATTAAGAAGGTACAATATAAACTCAGAGTATTATTTAAGATTTCTGGCACGCCATCTTCCACCAGCTTGAAGTGTGATACAGAACAGTTTCTTCAGAACCATTTGCATGTGAATTATATCAATACACAATCACAGCTGTTACAAATTCCATGTCTTTTGGAGTCATCATAAAGTTTTTGTATGCTTTAACAACTTGATCAATTCAAATTGGTGTTGTGTACCTATCTGAAAGAGGGCAACTTCTGATGATGTGTTGAGACGTGTTGCTGTCTGGCAGTGAGAGGATGGGGAAGAGAGTATGCAGTTTCCTCTCTTCATTTCCCATTCCTAAAGCTTTGGTTGCTAATGTACATCCTGTTCTAAATGTACAGCTAATAATTTTTGATTGTTAAATATTACCCAAGAGTTTCAAAGGAAAGTTTTATGCATTTTTGTCACCTCATCTACTATTTTTGAAGCATTAACCAACATTTTGAACACTACTTCAATTTGAGGATGTGATCCATTAACCTGAATGTGTGAGACACTTGGACATTTGCAAACATTGGAACAATGACTTTACGGGAACAATGATTTATTTAAATTTGAACTGAAAATTCTTTAATGGACAGAAGACTTGTTTTGTATCAAACAATGAAATAAAGTTTTCTACCAAAAGAAAATCACAAGATTTCTAGAACTCAGTGGAAAAAATAATTTATTGCCATTTCTTTTGCACATTAACATGAAACATTTATACATATATATTCTGTGCTACTAAGGTATACTAGATATAGACAACTTTTATACACAAAGTAATTGCACTGTTTTATTTTATAATGCAAATATTCAGAATTGATCAGTCAGATAAGAACAGATACTATTCACATATAAATGCACTATATATTAAAGTTATGGAAGGTCTATGCGTCTGAAACCTTGTCTACTTTTACTGACTGTATCAGCTGATGAACACACTATGTCCCTTTCCAAGCTTTACATCCTTTAATTATGTCATGATGCCTAGAATATTACCAAGTCCTCTCAAGGAATAAAATAAGATCATTTCTGAAATTAAGAGACCAAACCAAAGGCAGCATGCCTTCCAATTCCAGGGGCTACATCAAATGAGAGTCAATGCACTATGAATTGTCTAATATTGTCCAGCAATCTATTATTAATATGACAATTTAGTTTATATAAATCAATGAGAAATACATTGCAAGTGAACAGCATTTCAGTAGAAGTACATTGGCACATGCTTCAAATGGCAGTATCAGAAAAGCAGTTGCTCCCTTCCAGTACAGAAGATGTTTACAGTGCCCACAAAGGGAAAATGCAAGATAATATTGAATGAGAAACCTTCTTCTAATCAGGAATTTACAGAGCATCAAGTGTTATTCACAAAATAAATGAGAAGCACAGTCATAGCAGAACTAAATCTGATACCATTTATGCCATAATTTTCATAATGCTGCTTTAGGTATTTTTTTTAAACATAGTTCCTTAGGTTCATTGTTCTGCCTATCAACTGAAATACCTATCTTTCCAGAAATGTCATCAATTCACATAACCACAGTACTTCAGAGATGAAGATGAAGATGTGAAGCTTCAGACTGAAGTGGTTAGTTGTGGCTGCAAACTACATGGCTTCGTTCCATATTGTCTGGTGGTAGGAATGGTCACATGACTGACATGCAAAAATGCATATCAAAAACAGGAAAGCTTGAAATACATGCTCACAGCAGAGACGTAACAAACAATAAGGACAAAAAGTTAGCAAGCAAGCCCAGAGAAAAATGGTAAGTATGACTTCAGGAGTAGGGCAAAAGATGATGATATAGCACAAGTTAATGGGAGATATAATGTGAAAGAACATCCATAACATAACCTTACTGTCTGGTACCCTATTTGGAGACAGTATTGCACCCTATTCAGCGTCCTCTTCCTCTTCCCTCAGCTCAGAAAGCATCTTGCTTTGTCTCCTTGAGAGCATGCCAAGTAGAATTTGAGAAGTAAGGAATTTTCTTTGAAGCAACAACATAGTGGGTTAATGCAGTGACAAAATACATTTTACAACTTGCAACAACTGTCAGTAAATAACAAAAATTAAAAAACCAAAAAACATAGGAAGGGCATTTATTTATTTTATATGTATTCTATGTAGGAATGAAACAATTCCTACATGCCCTGGTGAACTACCAGCTCTGCCTGAGATGTTTCAATTTGTTCCCACCAGTAATGTGGGAACAGGGCAGAAGAGAAAGATATTAAAAACTGGAGAGGGAGTAAAATTGAAGTTGAACATCTGAGGATCTTGGCAAGATTTATTTTTTTACAACAAATCTGTTTCTCGGGAGAGAAATTTCAGCTGAACCTCTGTTAAAATAATGAAGACAGTAAGAATTAATCTTATAACATGCAAACAAGCAGATGCAAAGTTAATAACTGGTCACAGTTGCTTTGTTCTGTGTGTATTTCTGATGCAATTCTATTTATCGCTGTACTGGTATCATGGAAGAGATATCAGAGAAAAAAGGTGAAGGAGCAGCACTCCAAGCCAACACTTATTCTTGTAAATTAGGTCTTTCTCAGAAGTAACTGCTGCTCATGGGGACTGATATTAGAGATGTCAACCCAGGAATCAAGTTTGAGGCATGATGAGCTGCTTCAGCCCTATCATTTTCTACCAGCCTATAAGAGCAAAAGCATATTTTAAGCCTTGGTTTCACATCTCTTATGGCATCTGTAAACATTTGGTCCTTTTTCCTCACCATGTCCTTATTACCGGTCTTCGGAGTAAAACATTATGCTGATAGATTTGCAAATCCTAAGCTAATAACCCTCTAATGGATATAATGAAAAGAAAAATACATCACTAATGTGCATCAATCCTAGATTTAAGATATTGGAGGTAGAAAACTTCACAGTAAAAGCATAATCGGCAAAAGTATCTTCAGGATGATTTAAGAAATATTTTCATGCTTACTTCTATATGCTACTTCTTGCAATATTCTGGAGTGACATTTCAGGAAGTTTACCATATAGTTTCTGAATATATGTTAACATGCCTTTATTTACTGTTATGTATAGTCCCCCTGAAATAAATGGCACTGCACACAATAATACATTAGCATTCTGGAAAACTTCTGGAAAGGAAACCAAGACTACATGTGTGCACAAAGCAAAGTCATTATTTTAAAGTGATTAAACATAAAAAAGTTGGTTATCTGATTTCTGCTTTTGGATTAAATTATTATGCACAGCCTATAAAGTGCCAGAAAAAAACATGAAGAGTACCTTCACAGGAGAAACTGTGAACAGTTCAGAACATCTTAAAGGAATAAAACTTTGTGCATTTTTTGTGTATGGACAGATGAATTTGTGCAGAGAGTGAAAAAGATCAAAAGGTTAGAGGAATTATTCTTTCACTTTTCAAAATCACCTCTGACAAAATGATTGTCAGTTCACATCATCTCATCAATGTATTTTTCTAATCTCCAGTGCTCCCAAACTTAGTACAATTTAGAAGAGATACCTGTCTTGGGAGAAGTCCTTCTATCTCTAAGAATTACATCTATATCTGAATTTCAGAATTAACAAAACTAACAAAATTAGAAAGACTTTTTGAGTGTTCTTAAACTGTGAGTCTTAAGTGCTCCTGAAAATCAGGCTCACAGTATTTCTCAGTCAGGTTTATCCCTGACCCCATATTTCTCTCTACAAAGCTCAATTACTGGATAACAGTATCAGCAAATGTCTCTCAGGACTGCTATGAGGAGTAACAAAACCAGCTGTTGTACAAGATCTCTGAAAAGCAATTGCAATATTTAAAGTCTTAAACTACCTGAACTTTATATTTCATATTAAACGTGTTAGGCTGAAACAAGGAAAATACCCACCTAACTCAGTACCTCTCTGAAATTTACATATAAAATTATAATGTGCCTTGCTACAAATGATAGGACATTTATAATGCAGAAAAAACTGTGAAAAGTGTTTAATTAAAATATATTTTATATTCAACAATAGATTTAAAATAATAGTAGCCATGTGAAATTATAGTTATCTTACTGTAGAATAGGAATAGAAAAGTATTCTCAAAAGTGGCACCCAGCAAGTAATATATATTAAAATACAGAATTAAAATGCAGAGTTCAAGCACAGGGGGTTAATACTGGGAGTTACCATTAAAAAATTGATATACTTGGATACCAGTGGTAATAAATCTGGATTAGATCTCCTAAAAAGTCTAAACAGTTTAACAGTCTAAATTATATTTGCAGAAGTACGTGAGCCTTAAGACACATAATTAATTTCCTCTGACTTACAAGAATTATGTCAGCCAAAGTAACTGATGACTTTCATTATTTTAGTCAAGTGTGTTTTTAAGATTAAATACATTAGCTGAAAACTCAGGGCAAAATTCAAGCTACGTAAATTAATTTTATCTTTTTTTTCTTCCTGTTGACAACAGATGGAATGTATGCACCTGCTCAGCTATGGCAAAGCAGCTGGCATACTGTAACCTGACTGTCTAAGTTTGTAGCACACTTTGAGTCTAGATCTCATTGGCTTTTACTGAAATTCTGGATAATACATGCCCAGAATCCTGAAACTGAGGCATAAGCTTAAAGGTCCCTCAGTGCTTGAAGAGCTTTACCCTGTCTCATTTTGAGAAGAGGACTTAGGCTGCTAATGTCATTTAGAAGAAGAAATTTTCACCGTGTATATTTCTAAAGCAGGACCTCTGCCATGTAGCAGTCTCTGAACAAGCAGGTGCTATCTGGGGTTAAGAGACCACCACACACATCAGGTATGAACCTGCTTGCAAACAGCTGCTTGACTGTTGCCTAAATATTTGAAGGCACATTTTTTCACTTACTGGAAGAAAGCAAACAGCAAATTTTGAAGTGCTGATAACCAGACATGTCAGCTAAACAGAAACTGACATTATATTGCAAAATCTAGTACAGTGCAGAAATCTGTAAGAGGGAGATATAAATATTTAAACACTTGGCATTCCCTCAAGGACTTTTTTGAAATCAAAAGTATTATTTCAGGAACTGCACAAACTGCAAAGACAAATAATCAAGGATTTCCAAGTACTGTTAAGATAATAAATGTGTTAATGAAAGAGTGTTGCATAAAAATCTTCATTTTTTTCTATGGAACATTAAGTTTTGCAAACGTAAATGGATCTCCATGATTTATATTAAATTTTTGATGTTTATGTTTGAAAAAAACCAAAATTTTTTCTAGTTACTCATACCTCTGTCTCTGTACTCTTTCTGGACAAAAACCAAACTTGCATTGGCTCTTTTTTGCCCTTCATAGAAACTGGACCTCTGTACTCCAGGTGGAATTGAGGATCTGAATTTTCTGGTGTCATAAGACACCTGAAATTGAAAGAGAAAACATGTAAATGAATGCACTTTGCATGCACGCCACACACTATGTAAAATATTAAATATGCTGCATGTGTGTGAACAAACTATCAAAAGATTCAAATCTATCTCTACATCATTATTATATATGCATATCAATAACTGTATATCATAATGCAGTTTGCCATACAGTTTCATGAGAACTCACATATTTAAATAATGGTTGCAGGAGGACTGCCACTTTCAACTCCAAAAAATACTTTTATGGCATGCTGACAAAGTAATTTATTTTAACATGTCAACATCAATAGAAATAATACATAACTCACCTGTAAGTATATTCAGAAACATTGATCTTTCCTTTTTCTCCAGTAGTTTCTGTTCTGCTTGTTAGATTGACAGTATTTCCAAAGAGACAGTACCGTGGCATCCTTTGACCTATGACACCTGTGACTACCTCACCAGTATGGATTCCTATGGTTATCTTTTGAAAGAAAAAATTAAGTTTGAATATTCAAAATTAATGTAACTAATCTGATGTTTCTGACTAAATACAGACATTTTGTGGGTTTTGCGACTTCTTTTTTTTTAATTTTAGCACAGTGTCATGCCTCTGCCTTCCATATGAACAATCAAACTCTAATTTTCCAGCATGCACCCTGCTGTTATTATGTACTGTGAAAATAAAAAAATATGTGGGCAGAGAGGCGTACTCTGCAGGTCTGTGTTTAATGAGTGCTCGGAAGGTGCAGAAAAGAATGGCGTAAGTCAAGAAAAAATATGTTTCTCAAAGGAATAAGCCTGGTATTTTGTATTCTGAAGGTCAAGAGATAGGACAAAGGTTTGGAGAAGCTCATTCTTGTAGCACCTTACAGTTATCATAAAGCCCCAAATCAAACCTTCTCACTGTTTTGCTCCATGATAAAATACACAGCTCTAAGCTAGGTAACAGAACAGCAGCATTCATGTAAATAGAAATATGCATCGCACTCGTTAATCATTTTCTGCTTACAGCCTTCTCATGGGGACAGTCAATGCTGCTTACCCAGTTCTGTATCAGTGCAACAACATCTCCAGAAAGTCCCACAATGAGTGAATTCCATTAATATACACTGGTGTCAGTAATCATTGCTGTAACTGTCTATGGAACTGTAATTCTCTTTTTAACGCAATAATTTCTTATTCTGACTTGAGGGTCTGAGGCATGATCAAAAATATCAGGGAGGGAATATTATTGTTCAGCTCCTTGAGTTGAAGAAGACTCAACATATTGTACTTGATGCACAAGTAGGAATTCATTGATTATATTGAAATGATCAGAAGACAGACATAAATGATGTGTATCTAAATTAGTCCTTTATCTTTTAAAGCACAGTAAGCATTTTAAGGTCTAGGAACTGCACGTCACAGCTACATGTGATTTCTCATATTATTTTTATATATCAGTCTCAAAATCTAACAATCATGCATGGACTGGGACTAGAGCATTATCATATTTCAAAACATTATCATCCTATCAAAGAATGGATTTTTCATTCAAGCCCACATATTACTAACCTGTACAGGCTCACCATCTACTTGAACTTGGCCTGCTATTTCCATCATGTCCAAAGCCAGGTGGCAGATAGATCGTGCATGATGCATGCAAGGCTCCGGTAGACCACTCACTGTCATATACTTGTCTCCAACTGTTTCCACCTACCAAGACAGATATTTTACAATTACTTCATTATGGCTTTTAGAGTCCTAGAATTGATGTAGTGCATCAAGACTGCTTCTCCTTTAAAATAGTTCCCTTTCCCTTTCATTCAAATCATCCTAATTACTGTAATCTCTGCTTGTTATTGAAGAGAATTTATTGTAAACCCACAGTGTAACAACGTACAATGACACTGTGATTGTGTAAACCTGAGTCTCTCTTCTGGTGTCTTCTGAATGAAATTAAGCTCTATATTTGTTCTGACTTACACCCTTGATTCACAGGGAACAGGGCATAAAATTCAGTTCTAGCAAAACCTAGGAATGAACTTCATAGATATAAACACACAAGCAAACACATGTGCATATATATGGAATGTATATGTATCTATCTGTGCATCTTCCTGCTACCAGCCACATTCGCATCTACATCTCACTCCTAATGAAGGAATGAAATTCACATTGAGGAACTAAGTTGTAATTTACAACTAGAAGACCCAGGAATAGAACTGAAAAACTTAAAGCATAAGGTTAGAAGAATCACAAATGGCTTGTATAAGTTCACATCTGCTAAATGTGAAAGTACATTTATATGTCTGCCTAATGGTGACTGCAGAAATCATGATGAGAACTTTGCACATCATGTTCCTTCAGACATTTAGAGATAACCAACATACTCTACTGTAACTATCTAATATCAGGTAACACAAGGAATGTAAGTTTTTTTTAAAAAGCCTAAAATCCAAGAAAATACTGGTAAAGACTGACAACACCATAATAAATTATGGAAAAATAACAGATTATATACTTTAAAAATCCTATGCTTACCTTATAAACAAAGGGATTCCTTCGTGAATCAGTCAAAATATCAAATCTTGTGTAGAGATCATTTAAAAGATTGACAATTTTCATGGCTCCCTCTCCAGAGGCATGTTTACTACAAAAGGTATTGAATCCCACAATGCCACTGAAAAGAATGGTGACGTTGTCATAGCGCTTGGCTGGAACAGGGCGCTTGTGTCTCAGCTCATTTGCCACTGATGGTGGCAGAACAGAGTACAGTAACCTACACAGGTAAGGAAAAAGTCAAAAGCAAAACAGAGAGAATGTGGAGAAAGATGTTTACAACAGCACTCTTCATATATTAACTTCCTACCCCCCATAGGATTTATAACATAATCCCACCATCAACAAGCAATAGAAAAGGTGTTTACTGAAGAATATGTTATTTGGAAAACAGCATACCATTTCAAAGATATTAATACATTAAAATTATCCACAAAATGAGACATGTATTACTAATTCTTCTGACATGATTTGTTAATAGTGTCTTGAATAATTTTTACTTCTTTCTGCCACATCCTCAGCTCATATAGTATGGTTTTGCTTACAGAACCATAAAAACTGCAAAGAAAACCATGAAGAGATCCAACTGTTTTCCATCTCTGATCAATTCATGCATTTCTAAGCGGTCCCTCTCTGTTGAGCATGCTGCTTTTAGGGTCTAGAGTGTCTTTCTTTAATTAATAGTCCATATGATATATTAACACTTGTTTGTATCATAAATTATGTAAATAAAATCCAATCACACACACAGAATTTCACCCTATTCTCGTGTGTATTCTTTCAACTTACTACCTGCTATCTAAAAGGTCCATTTCCCTCCTGACACAGCTAAGTGGACAAGCTGAAGATCTCTGACTGTTTCAGAAATCCTGAATATCATTTCGTACACAGCCTCCTGCACAAACCCTCAATAGATGCATTTTTGGCAAGTTCACTACTTGAGTTATAATTAGTGAATACTTTTGGCACATCATACAGTAACTGACACTATCTGTTCCAGCAGCTGCCATGAAGGCTAGAATTCCTGAAGATAAAATGACTTTAAAAAGCAAGCCAACAGGAATGAAGAGAAAAAATACTTCTTAGACTTTGTTTTCTCTGATTCTCTTGTCCATCCCTTTTAAGTATTTTTAAAATAATTTCCATTACTCCACTACAGAAAAAACATATCTGCCAATAGAATTAATACAGAGATGGGACTTGTTTTATAAACAAGAGCCAATCATGAACTCATGCTACTTTTCACACAAGCTTTTGTTTAATTTGCCAGTCGTTGTTGAGCTGAAATGCCATAGACTAATGACGTTTGAATTTGACTTTATAGTTATCTGTAGAACTGGATTTGGGGCCCAATGTACGCCTACTGTTATGTGTTCTTTTCACGTATTTAGATCTAGATAAACCCAAATTCATTTCTACAAGTAACTATAAAATCAAATTCATAGCATTAAGCTTTGCAAAATTTCAGCTTTACGCAAACTGTTTTCAAGGTTTATAAGATATGTCCTTCTGTTCTATTATCCTGTGCCAGAAAGACGAAAGTTGGTTTACTGAACTCTGTCAAATAACAGCACTCGGGCGTTCATCAGATTGACCTTCACCAAAGCGATTGCATGTAGGTTTCCAAAATTTTAGGTAATTCACAAATAAAAACTAATTGTCAGCACATTTTTATAACTTTTCTTGTCAGAGAGGGAGCCATCAAAACATCTAAGCATATAATGGCCTAACTATGGGTGACATTTGACAATCTAAATAAAGAAATACCCTATTAAATGTTCTTTCTTGACTCCAAAATTACCAGTTCTGATTATCTCTGATATTCCTTACAAGATTCTGTTATTCTTTAAAGAAGGTAGCTATAAATAATGTATTGCTTTGAGTGTTTCAGCTCAAAATTGGGATTTGATTCTTACGTGTCTGTCTTTTTCTTTTCATCTTCCAGTGCACGCAGTGTGTGCTGCAGTCTGTCAGTGAGGATCTCGAGCTCTTGGGTCAGTTTATATTCCTCTCGGAATTGCTCTCCCAAAAGAACCAGATCACGGGTAGCATCATGCAATGGAATATCACTCAGATATAAACCTCTTCTGGTTAAATCATCCAAGTTCATTACACTGCAAAGCAGAGAAATATACAATAGTATGGATAAAATTAAACTTGCCAAAGGAGCATTTAAAAGTCAAATAAACAGCAGAGTCTGCTGCACAACAGTAGAAAGACAACGATTCTGAAGTTGTGATAAGCTGTACAACCTATCCCTTCTATGAAACTTTTTTGTGATCATTCATTTTAACCCACAGCCCTTGATTTTTGCATTTAAATACAGAATTCTCACAAAGAGGTCCATGAACATATCAAATGTACATCAGCACACAAAGTGAGATTATGTAAAGAATTTTTCCATTCAATCCTCCATTCCAATCACTTCTTTATCACCAATCTATTACATTAAAACTACTGCAAAAATCCATGAATCCACGCAGAAAACCAAATCACTGTCATATTCTTAGCATTGTCTGAGGAAAAAAACCAAAGGATAGAGCTTGCAAAAAAAAAACGAATATGAGGCATAACCATTTGTACAAACTGGGCCAGAGCAAGACAGTATTTATATTGAGTATTCAATAATCAGTCAAGTTCCCACCTCTTTTAGTAAAATTAGTAATTGAAAAACGAAAATCAGTGTTATAGAACTCTCTAGGTTTAAAGTACCTTGGTGAACAAAGAAAGAGAATGCTGTCTGCTTCAGGCAAGTAGATCATTTGCCCTTTCAGGCGTAAGCAGCTGATTTCTGTGCCAGTCAATTCATCTTCACACTCCAATTTCTCCACATCCAACAGCCCCTCCTGGTGATGAAAAGCCACAGTTGTGTAAGGGCAATGGTGTGTTGTGCATCAGGCCTAGTATGTAAGTGCATTCACTACAAAGGTAGTCAGAATATTTGGATAGATTAAACTTTGATTAATTTATTGTTTGAGCACCATGTCCTATCTGCGCATTTTAATACTATGACTTGCAACCTTGAAGACACAAAGCATGGTATCTGTCTTTACATTCATGTTTGTAACTCCTTGTGTTCTTCCACATAATTTTTTAACAATAGTTTTGACAACAGTATTACCTGTTCTGTTAGATTCTATCTGTGCCTGAGACCACCTCTAAGAAATAATCCTGGTTTTCCTCAGGTACAGTTTTCTATAAACAAGCAGGCTCCTTGATGTAGTAGGGGTTAGTCTACATGCTGCAACTGCTCGTATCACCCGCCTTGTCTCCTGCCCTCTTTAAGGAAAAGGACACAGACCTTTGCATGAACATATGAGTCCAAGCATGAACACATTTCATATTTGCCTCCACACTGTTATGAGCAAAAGTAAATGTAATTACCTTTTTACATTTTCTTTGATATAATGCCATAAACTAGACTGGGCCCTTGCAAAGAAAGCATCGAACATGAAGTACATTTACTTCACCATTCCTATAAAACATTCTGCTTAACAGCTACTTAAAAATTCATGCCTATAACTCTCTCTTAGCTCAAGATTCAAAAGGGTCTGAGCATACTACTGTGCAGAGAATTTTCTCTGAAGACTTCTGAACTTTCTGCATTTCTTATCTCTCCAAAGCACATTTCCTTAAAGAAAAGCTGGGAAAATATTCTCTAGTTACCTTAGTCCTCAGTACGAAGACTGTATTGATATGGGAGAGGATCCCATGGAAGCTAATATCAATATGAGGCCGGACCAAGGAGAAAACTGACAACAGACTGCAATTTCCTGGCTGCAGCTAGAATATTAAAAAACAAGAAAAGGGGAAAAAAAGACTGCTTTTTAATAAAAATGTACATAGAGAAATTATATTCCATTTTCTTAGATGACAAAATGGAATGCAACAGAATATATACTTTATGCATCTCTCCATTGAATCATGAGATTTTTACATTATTCTCTTAGTGCATATGTAAATGACCATAAGGAAAAAAGCTGTTGTAGAATTAGGCTATTTTCAAGTAATTTTTCAAAGTAAAGAAGCACAATTAAGTAACAATTATAAGGGAAGTAACACTCCTAAGTGTTAAGTAACACTTACAAGGGAATGCTGTTTAGACAGAGAATCCTAGTATTTTATTCATCTTTATAAATTAACCTGTGAAGCATCACTAGGAATTTCTACGGATATGTATGCATAAAAATCATCTAACCTGTGGAAGGACTCTGTATATAGCATTGCCACATTGTGTGACCACCAGATCTCTGTCAAATATGATGTGGAAAGGAAACGCCTTGCAGAAAGTATAGGGACTGATGCGGGACTCTTGGGTACCATTTTCTTCAAATCTGTCGAGGTCCTCATAGTAGTCCTCTTCTTTAGACTCTTTCTCTTCAATTAAAAATTGAATGTGGTCACACTCCTCATTTCTCTGTTGAATAACCTAGAGAAATGAAAAAAAAAATGAAAAATTGAAAACTCTGCTACTCACTAGTAGTTGGAAAGCTACTATGAAGAAAGGAATGTGTTTAGAGGAGAAAGATATATTCAAGAATTTTATTTTTATATATCTTGAAAAATATTGTATTCTAATAGGAATTTCTGATTTTATAGCCTTTGTAATTCCAGGTGAATAACTATGCCTTTGATTAGCCACAGCTGCTCTCTGCAAGAGCAACATACTGAAGATCACCCAAGTACAATTTATTAAGCCTGAGTGAAATGCAAATCCTGAAACGACGGGTCAAGGCTCAAGTTGTGTTGCTTTTACTGGTACTTGCCAAAAAACAGGGTGGCCCCTTCCCCTGAAATGAACCTGTGTGAGTCTGGAATCACACAGAACTTTGAATCCTTATTTTGATCAAAGCTGTTTGCAAGGTCTATAACACAACAGCAAATACTGTTGACTGTTTAGTGATGACTAAATAGTGCTAAGAGGGTGGGCATGTCACCGACAGCAAGAAGGAAAATGAATGGAGCAGATGTTAGGATATACAGTCCTCATACATTCCAGCAGACTGCAAGATCAGAGCCAACAGACAAAACTACAAGCAATTCAAATCTTCTCTGGGCTACATTCCATATTAAAGGAAATGACAGCAAAACTAGAATCATCTACATCAGTGGAATATCCAAAAGATGTCCTTAACACAGCATTACGCTCTTCAGTAATTTTACTCAAAGTTAGAAAAAATATGAACAGGGATTATTCTGTTTGCAGTGAAGAGTCATGTATAGCAATATAATTTAAGCGAATAACTAGCAGAATAACATCATTTACGCTGAGAAGCCAAATTCACCTCTTTTCAAATGTAATTAGACTTAATGATTGGAAAAGAACAACTCTGTTTACATGGTATTGTTAAGCAGCGAATTTGTGGAACACGTTCTACTTGATTCTATTTTCGTGTAGAGTCTGATCCTAAAGTCGCTAAAGCAAAAAAAAAAAAGATTTCTTTAAATCTGTAAAGCATCCTGATTTTGCCCTTTACACGTAGTTTTAACCACAGAGATTAACAGTTACAATTTGAAAACAGAACAGATATGCACAAACATTGCAACTGATTCCCAAGATGTTAAATTTATAAAGTACTGGTTCTCCAGAATTTCCAAAATTATTAATTGATGGGTTGAGGAGTGCTGATACCTTTATTTGTTTCTATACAAATGAAGGAGTGTGAAACAAAATTCCAGTATTTTACAGTTATATAATATTTAATTTAAAGTGGCATTGTTCTTTGATTTACAAATTGACTACTCATTTGAAGGAAAGAGAGGCTCTTCTGGAGGACAGTTTAGAACAAGAGCCTAATTTAAGTGCTCTATAGCTCTGTGCTGCATTATTCTTCTCTATTACTTATGTAAGTAAGTTAGATAAAGATCAGCCTACTAAATTTACCAGCTAATGTAGGTAACCAAAGCTGGATGTATGAATAAATTCAAATGTTGATGATGATAAAACCTAACTGCCTCAAGAAACTGTACTGGTAATCCATATGTCAGTGTGTGACAAAGAGAAGTGGGAAATTATGACCTAATAAGGGGTAAACCTCAGAAAAAAAATATATGGTGGTCATCTGAGGAAAACACATTAAATGGGTTTGTCTAGGAGAGTGGAACATAGTCGATGGACACCTAGTTTTCCTCTGAATTCAATGTTTAAAGGTTTTCCAGGTCTTCCGTTAAATAATTTTCCCTGACATTGTGAGACTGTGATCATATTGAAAATTATCAGAATTCAGTTAAGAGTCTTAGTCCTTACTTTCTACCACTCATACACACTCCTACAGCTTTTATTTTAATAGTACTGTTATTACGGCCAGCAGTAGCTGAGATTATGCACAGAAATATTTTTCAAATGGTGAAGATTTATCTCTAGAACTGATCTATACTTCCAGATGATTTCCAGTCTTGGATCTTACTTTGAAGTGTTGCTCTTGCAACAAATGGAAAAAAAACTCTGCATATTTTGGATGAAAACCTTCTTTACTCAGCAAAGCTGATTTTAAAGAAGCTAATAATTTTTTAAGGAAATACTCATATTAGCAGCACATTGCCTTCCAGAGATATTATCTCCTTATTGCCAACTGACTTAACTGCACACTAGTATTCTGTTACCAGCCTGTACTTACAGGCTTTTTTCTGCTACCATGCAGCACCTAACAGGTTGTTTTTAATGACTTCTCATTTTATTTCATTTATTAGAAATGAATGATGCATCAGTAAACAAAACTCAGGTTTAGATTAAAAAATCACCTATAAAAATAGAACTGCTACATGCTTCAAGATGTCTAGCTACTTTGAGCCATGACTCTCTGCAGATCTTACAAGATCACACAGTGACAAAGTCAGTTCTCACACATACTGTGCTATTTTCCTAACCTTTATAGATTAAAACTGTGCCAATAACAGTGTGAAGCTGCAAATTTCCCAGCATCTTCAAGTTAATTTGAAACACTATTTTTCACCAGATCTCAGGGCATGTAGAAATGCTTGCTGTTTAGTGCAACATGTTAGTGCAGCAAATGAGCACCAGGCCAAACAAATGGACATGTGTCAGACCTACAGGACAGACACAGCGCCAGCTGCACATTCCTGGTAAACATGATATGCTGTGGACATGGCTGGTTTATGCAATTTTATTCTGATCATTCATGCGCAGACACTTATTAAAAGACGCTTTAATTATACCCCTCTCCAAGCTAGGAAATCTACTGATGCATCCCTAATTAACTTCCCAATGGATATGTAATTTCATGATGTCTTTTCTGCTCACACAACTTATGAACTATCTAATCTTCCTATCTCATTGATTTATCCACCCTATCAGCAAATTTAAAATAAGCACTTTTGACTGTTAACATAAGATGTTAAATTTTGTTCCTTCACCCTTGCACCTATAGATCCAGCCTAATTGGCCAGATATTTGTCTGGCATAAGGACCTGCCATAGATACTCTGCTAAGGTAAAGTAGAATAGAACTTATCTACTGTTTCATTCTGCAAGCAAAGTTTTCAAGCCACACAATTTCAGTATCATTTAAATACTGTTGAAGAAGCCTCTGATAAATGCTTGACAAATCTAAGTTCAGTCACAAAGCAACAAAGCCAGCAATCAAGTCTAATTCTTCTTCCCCCTACAGCCTTAGCTGGTGAAGTGGTATCAGTTCACAACTCTAAGAGCTCAATCACCATAGTAACTGCAGTTAAAACTGAAGGGAGAAATCACTCTCTTGGTTTCAAAGAGAATATATAACATTTAACTGCTAGCCTGCCTGTGCCTTCCAGGAGATGTACCTTCAGAGTTTGTCCTTGCCTGATCAAGTGAAAAGTCACACCGATATTTCAGGGAATGGCAATTCAGAGAAAAGTTATTTTTAAATGAGTGTGGTTTAATGTATTTGGTGAGCTTCACACAAGATATTAAATCAAGCAGTATTGCAGTGATACAGAATTTATAATGGGGACAGGCTATCTGTTAAGCTGTCACTGATGTGTCTACAAGACTCCATTCTGTAGATCTGAGCATATCCCCAGGACACACTCATATCTCAGCACAACACGACAGAATGTCCTTGGACAGGGATCTTTTTTGATGAGATTGTGAAAATTAATATAAAAACAGGGGGGGTTTGCCCTTTAAAGGTCAATACAGGATGAAATTTTTGATCTCTTCTGATCAAAACTGACTATGCAATGGTGCTTATCGAAGTTCACTGTAGCTGGTTTAGAAAGATCCCAAGACAAAGGAATTCACTGCGGAAATGGCACCACTTTCAGTTTGCATACCCAAAGATAGAGCCATGGGGACATCTTCCCCCGGCAGCTTGTTTCAGTGTAGACTGTCTCACTTCACCAAACCACTGTGCCTGGAGATAATGAAGTTTACAGCTGCCCCAGTGCCAAAATTAGAGGCTGATCATGCTCCATGACTGACTTATCTTCAGACACAGTTAGCATTTTAATGTGTGGACCAGTACTGCTTGTCTTCCATGGCAAGTATCTAAGTAGTTTTTAGATCAGCTCTCCAGCTGGTCACATCTTCACTTTCTTTTTTCACATTGCCATTAGTAAGCCTGAAACTACCATCTTGTCAAGGACTTCCCCTGTTCTTTTCTCATTTTACATTGTTAAGCATCTTTCCTATGTAAAAGGTTTTGATAGTCTGCTCTCAAATAATAGCACTGCAGAAGTCTGCTCTCCCAACAGATATTTGGGCTTTTCAGGATTATGTACAACAAATATTCTTTGTTGACCCATACCATTAGTAGCCTTGAGGGAATCCCTGTCCTGACTTCACCTTCACAAGTCACCCTCATTTATGTACTAACAACCTCTGACAAGTGAAGCAAGAGAAGGCATAGCCAGTAGGCTGCTAAAAGAGATCTCATGACAAAGTTTGTCACCAGCATTGTGATAATTTTTTAGTTCTCATACTGAGACTGGCAGACATGAATATTCTTAGTACATACATGAAGTCAGCAACAATTTTTGAGACATTACCTGCTGCAAAAATTATGTAGTCTTAGCTCTATTTGCTAAAAATGGATTACCATATCAGAGAACATAAGGCAAATTGGATTTGAACTGATTAATCAATAAATGTCAACTTGGGCTTTCCTGAACTATTCAACTGGAATTTTGAACCTAAGTTCAAAACAAATTGCTTTCCTTTCAGTGCTAACAACATCTAACAGAAACAAAATGACACTTCCCCTCCCCTGTCCCCCTTTCCTTCTGCACGCACATACTCTAGGTGTTAAAAGAGAATGCATATTTCCTGGAGGACACCATTCTGGAAAAAGGAAGCCCTACGTTATTTCAAAAGAAGATGTATTGTTTTATATATTTATACACACAAAATTGTTGTGTGAGACTGAAAAAAGGTGATAAAATTACGACTTTTTCTATTTAGCTATTTCTCCACCCAAAGAAACAATGTGGGACAAAACAAGAATAATATTTTTCTTAATATTTTGTTTCCTCTTGTGATCATTAGCTGGTTTTCTCTGCACGTTGAGAAAGGTGATCCTTCCCCTCTCCTCAGCACTGCAAAGGTCACACCAGGAGTGCTGTGTCCAGCCGTGGGTTCCTCAGTACAAGAGAGATACAGAGCTATGAGACAGGGTCCACTTCCTCTAGGGAGGGCCATTAAGATGATCAAGGCACTGGAGCATCTCTCTCAGAAGAGAAAAGGCTGAGACAGCTGGCACTGTTCAGTCTGAAGAATAGATGGCTCAGCAGGATCTCATCCATGAACACAAATACCTGAAGAGAGGGTGAAGAGTGATGGAGCCAGGCTCTCTTCAGTGGTGTCCAGTGCCAGGACAAGAGGCAATGGGAACAAACTGAATCACAAGAGCTGTTGTCTGAACATCAGGAAACACTTTTCTACTGTGATAGAGATGAAGCACTGGCACCTGCTGTCCAAAGAATTTGCAGAGTCTCCATCCCTAGAGATAGCTGAAAGATGTCTGAGCATGGCCCAGAACAACTGGCCCTAGGTGGCCAGGCATGAGCAGGTGAGGTTGAACAAAATGACCTCCAAAGACCCCTTCCAACCTCAGCCATTTTGTAATCCATGAAACAAAATCTAACCACTTAATGAAACAAAACCAGCATTATCAAAAATAAGATCTGCAACCATCTTTACAGAGACTTGTAATATATCAAGCAAATTCAAACAAAGTTTCATGAAAATACAGACTTAGAAGCATGTATTCTCTCCAGCAGATTTATATAAGCATTTGTTCAAAACGGAGAAGGAAAGTAGATAAAAAAGTATTAAACATCAAATTGCAGATATCAACATTATACTAATATAAAAAGAATTGCAGAACTTACTAAATCAGTCCTGTGTTGGACTGTTATGTAAATGGTTTGGATAAAGAAATTTGAAAGGACAACTCAGGAATTTCTTTTTGCGACTCAGAAGATGACTCCCATAATAATATTGGAAACTTTGGGCTAAGCACTGAGGTTTTTATCAGATTCAAAAAAAAACCATTCTTCCTTAAGCTAAATTCTAACTGAGGTCCAAACCAAAAATTTTACACTAAAGGCACTGATTGGTCCACAAAAACTGAAGGAATTAAAAGCAATTCAGTTGTTTTTCTTTGTTGTGCTTTTTCAAACAATGCATTGCTAACAGACTAAAACACAAAAGCATCAATTTACTAAATTATGAGGCAAAGCATGGAGATGAAAGAAGTTGTCTATTTTTTCTCCTATTCTCAATATTTTGAACAGTAAAACTACCTAGTTATTACAATGCCAGACTTTACTTTAAAACCTTCACTCCATACCATTAATGATTAATATCTGACCTGTGGAGTAATGGAGGAAGACTTTCATTGTCTGTGGATAAGCTGCAAAGAGCAGCACTCTCACCTTAGAGAATCAATTCTCTGCTTATCTACCACTGAAGTTTCTGAGTACCTGTGGAGTACAGCAGTGTGTAATGTCTTAGAGATGTCATGACATCGGCTTTATTAATCAGGAAAGACACAAAAAAGTTCAGGGTTAAGAGCACAGAGACTGCAGGGAAAAAGTTAAAACTGGGGTAACAGACAAAATAAAACAATATGCACTTCATTCAGTTTAGAGGTTAATACTACGTTTTAGGCACCTATGTGCTTTTACCTCACAGTCTAGAAGAATAGCGCAGATTTAAATTAGACTTTGCATTCACTTACAGTAGGTCTGACTAATGCTATTAAATATCTATTTACTTACAGTACAACAGCAAAATTTCCAGAAAAGCCTAAAAAAGTCAAATTAAAATAAGTAAGCACATAATAAATATTTAAACCTCTTTAGAACATGTATTATTTGTGAGACTTCCAGATGGATATTAACACAATTTTCTCAGCAAAGTAACCTTCAGATTGAGATCACGGTTTATCAAAAGTTTGTGTTGCTAGCTGCTTTGGACAACCCAGATTTCTCCTCTGCCCCATGGATCACTTTGGCCTCTGTGTGGCCCTCTGAGATACAGAACACTGAACCATGTAAAAGAACACACGAATGTAAAAAAACAAAACAAAACAAAACAAACCCCCCCCTGTTATTTTGAACCCAGGTCATTTCCTCAGTATAGTTTATTTTATAACTTGACACCAGCTGGAAAGCACAGACGAAGAAGTTGCTGTCAGACAAGCCTGAGCACTGAGAGAACAGGTTCTGCTTAAGCTGCCTGAGCTACCAAAAGAAATGCTTGTCAAGTGACAGCTTCAGCACTTTTGCAGCCAACTTTCCAACACGGTCCTTCTTGTCTATCTCAACACTTCAAATAAACAGGAATCTAAAAAGAGGATTGTTTTAATTCTGTTGTATCCTTCTGTATCTGATTACTAACACCTGCTGCAAGTTTGAAGAGGTTTTCTACAGAATAGACTCTAAACAAGGACACAAGTATATCACCACACTATACACATCTAGACATCTACTATAAACCTGAGCTTAAAACAGGAAACCTAAAAGGCAAATACTCCCTAGGCAAATAAAAGGCAAATACTCCCAATAAAGCAGTACAAATATCTTTGTCATTGGATTGCTTGCAAATCTCTTACTTGAGCAAGGTCATGTTTTTGTGATAAAAGTATTTTCTCAGCAAGCATACAATGAAACTGTGCTAGAAATGTAGGAAATATTTAAAATTAGGAAAATTAGGAAATATTTTAAAAACCCAAAGAATGTTTGGTGTACCTGCTTAGATTCTTTTCTACTTGATGAAAAAAATAATTTATATGAGTTGCAATATTTCTAATAGAAAAAAGCTTTCTTTTTTTGTTTCTCCCTCCACATGTATCTACACCTTGGACCAAACCCTGATTTTTTACTATTTCACATGCAAGGCCTGATCAATTAAATCTTTCTGTTGCTCTGTAAGGGCAAAGCACACACCTCTTTCCCATTTCACAAGTAACTGAGCAAACATGTCATCACATAAACTGTGTCACTGAGGAACATTTATTCACTTCTGGGGTTCTAGGTGCATATCCAGTCAGACTTCCATGCAATGACAGCAAGAAACTCACAAATGTATCTTTTTTCTGAAAAGAACCTGGCACGCTGGCTGGGAGGAAAACACTGCTTGCCACCCAGGCCTCATCAGTGCACATCAGCCTCACAGTCTGCACACAAATGAAGAATCTAGGACAAAGAGGAAATGTCCATGTTCTCAGAGAACACAGTAGACAGTAGGAAATATATGCCAAACAAAAATTAAAGGCAGAAAAAAGCACCTCAAATAAGTCAGTATCTAATTTCTTTACATATCTTCTTTACAATCCTTTTCTGAATAAGGGGATATTGCTCTGTACTGTTCCCAGTCAGGTCTGCCTGCCAATTAGAGGTTGCCTTCTCAGCATATGGCTGATGTGTCCTTCAAGCAACACAAATGAGGATGGCTCTTCCTGAGAGTGAGTACTGATTCCACTTCTTCACAGAAGACAGCAACATTGAAAACTACTGTAATTTGCCATCACTTCACTTTTGATTCTCTTGGTTTTTTCCTACTGACATAAATTTTCAATGAGTATACCACTTCAGACATTACCTTCATATCTATTTCTGTACCATGGATCTGTTGAGCTACTGTTTTGATGATTCCAATGACAATATCCTGCAGACCTTCTCTTTCTGAATAGTAATGCAGAATGAGTCCCTTTCCCTTTTCTGCATCAGTGCATCTGAAGGAAGGGGCTCTCATACCCGGGTAAATAGTAGCAAGGTGGTCATGCAAAGCATCCAGGTTCTGGAAGAAATTAAAAACATGGTTATAAGGCATTCACTTACCATTTATGAAGAAAGTAAGCACGTATTTTGTCCAATCTCAACATCCCTTTCTCCTATTGCTCATACTTCTACACATTTGCCTTATTCTCCATAGAACTGTCATCACAGCAGGCTTTTCAGGTAACCCGAAATGTTCTATCTACCATGGCAACATTTGAACAATGAATAGCATAAAAATTAGGACTATTATAAATTACTCCAGATAGTAAGAAGTTGTGCTTGATTATGCTGTATTTTGAAACATTCAGATTAAAGACCTTCTGTGTGTTTCTCAGTCTGGTACCTCATCCAGTTTCATTCCTTCCAGTTCTAGTCTCTATGATTTCCTCTTCAAATATTAATTCAGGAGCCAAATATAAATAAGCATGTCTGAAAAATATAAATCTTTCTCTTTATTATCAATGATAAGTCTAGTTATGACACTGTAACAATCAAATTTACAGGGCCTGACAAAGTTCAAATTTTGAAGTAAAGATTTAAATGCTTGAAAGACCAAATTCAAATATATCTTTTCTTTGACAATAATTGAAAAACTCCACAGAATAAACAGAAATATCACAGCTGCTGTAATAATGTATCCAAAAATGTTGTTCAAGAAAGGGAAGAGATCTTTTTTTTCTTTCTCTGCTACTGTCCCAGACATCTCATGTATTTTACTTTAAATTTTAACCATACAAATTGTGATCTGGAGAAGAAAGCTAAATTATAAACTGATAGGTATACTTAATAAGGACATTAAAGAAAACAGTGAGATCAAAATCACACTTTAAACACAACATTAGATTCAACTTTGATTGTGAAGTAATTATCAAGGCTCCAAGTTGCTATTTACTGTACATTTAATGTAGAAAAAGCAACCTAGTTTGTAGCATAGAGCTGCAACCCACAATTTTTTATTTATGTTGTAAAATTCATACAATTCTTTACATCTTAAGTCAAAAACATTATTGCCTATTTTAAATGTTGTTCTCACTGCCGTACAAGTGACTGCTACCACTAGGCTTTGCATATTGTTTTCTGCCAACATAGGAAGCGGAGTGAAAATATTTTCAATGTGCTGTCTGGGAAATTCTCCACCTTTCATGAATATCTGTCGACCATGAAATTAGGGGAAGCACACTGAAGTTGATTTCACGTGAGCTGTGAAGTGCTTGAACAGCTGCCTCTTCTCCTGGAGACCTCCAAACAAAATTACACTCGTAGCAATGAATTCCATGGGATGCACTTAACCTGGAATTTCCTCCTTCAGTTTTTTAGCTTGTTTCAAATCCATATTTTGTTGCTATATCAACATTTCCAAATTAGAACTTGAAGAGGCAACAATCTAGTGTCAATTCATTCCAGCTGTTAGTGGGCACTGACAAAAAACCCATAATGCTTGAAGGAAATTTCTGTAAGAACTTTTCAAGACAATGCAATTGGAAGACACTGTTTTGAAAGACTGTAGATGAGAAAAGAGCAAGAGCGATGACTGGCTCTGAAAGACTGCCCCACCATCTCCTTAACTGGATGCAGAACTGCAGTTTCAGTACATGCCTCAGAAACAGCCAGGATATATTGACCTTTTGGAAAAAAACTCTTTAGGGAGATACATGGGAAAAGATGATAAATCTTTCAGCTACACAGTCACCAGCTGAAGAATTTCAAACAGGGAACAGTCAATGTCAAGGACAGAAGTTCTGTAAAACTGTTGTTTAAGTATTAACATTTCAGTCTGGCATAAGTGTGACAACAACTGGCAATAGACCCATTCTGCAAAAACCACTTTGTCACCCTTCTACTCCTTTACTGCTGACTTTGTCAAAGCAGTGTCACAGGTGAAGTCTCCGTGATATGTCCTTCAGTTTTCACTCTCTAATCTTCCAGAGTGAGGGACTTACAGCTCACTGTATTCAAAATCTTGCTCTGACACATGGTCAAGGAGTAGACATGTTTTTGCAGATCATGGGGCTGAAACCACTCCTAGATCTAGGCACACTGTCACTGTTACTCCTACTTCTATTTTTTGTTGCGCTTGATCCATTCTAACTTGATGTTGCAGCTTCTGAAAGAAGAAAAGTCTTTTTTTATTGTATGTCCAGCTGCTGTGAGCCAGAGGTGAGGAAAGGTGCAGATTATAATAGGCTAAGCTCTCTCCCTGAATTTGGCTCCTAGGCTGTTTAGATATATACCAGAGCTTATGTGCTGGAACCAAAGAACCAGTTCTAGAGCTATGAGGAACAGTAATCAGCTCCATGGGGAAACACAAGGGAATCTCCAAGCAAGAACAAGTAGTCATATTAAATGGGGCTGATCCTGGTCTGTCTAAAAGTTAGACTTGTGGTTGGCACCTGAAATACAAAGATATGCTGTTCAGTGCTGTGTGGTACACAGCACCTGGAGACTTATCTAAAAGAGGAGTTATCCCCTGAATTTTAATCACTGAGTTAATCCCACTGCAATCACAAAAACCTAAACAGCCATGTAAACAATTCCTTAAATGGGAGAACTAACCACTTTGATTTTTCATTCAATAGAAAGCTACTAAACTGAACACAAAAACACATTTTGGGTTTCTAAGGAGGTACCTCTTTTCACACTGCTTCTGTTTGGCACAGTGTCTTTCAATATGATCTGCAAATTTTCCATGTTTGTGTCTTTCACATAAAATTTAAATATTTAATTTAGTTGTCCTTCCTCTTTCATGAAGCTTGAAGTACCTGTGTTTCAACTATGAATACACTTATATTTTCTTGAGATGTCAAAGGAAACGGAACATAAATGTGAGATTTATTTTCATATATTTTAAAAAGCTGCAGTTCTCAACTGCTTTGTATATATCCTGGACTCAGTATAGTATACATTTCAAGAAGCACCTTTTGGAACTCTATGATGTATTTAAAGAATCTGAGAAAAGTCTGGGACATTAAACCCAACCTGCACCTATTTCTATAACGGGTATATAAAGTAGTTTCCTGACCTAATATGACTGCTAGAAGATGCAAAATTAATAAATCACACCTAAGGATGATTTTCCATTGTAATAAAAAGCTAAAAAGTACACTTCTGGCACAGCTACTAATACATTAATCCTGTTAACATTTAGAGAAGTATATAATAGCCAATGTCATCTGTTAACACTAAAATTCAAACAAAGCAACTAAAAACACTGCCATTATAAGAATATAAATGTAAGCTGTTTCCACTTTTACAGATGTTTGGTATCTATAACAAACATGTCCAGTCCTTTCACCAGCATATGTGGTAAGGAATGAAAAGAGAAGTATATTATATGGAAAAGGGCATGAGGGAAAGCCAATAGCATCTCTATTTGTGGCCCATATATGAGTAATCAAAGTGATGATGCAATGGGAAAGCTACACCTTCTCTCTCCTCCCCTACTCTTGCTCAGCCTTAGCCACAACATCAGTACCTGAGTTATCTTTGGAAATTACTTTTATCTGAAGGCTTGATTTGAGAGCAGCCTATGAATGAAGCTATGAAATATAAAAGACGCTACATCCCATAGACAGACAGTGGTTTACAGCTCACTCATGATATGCACATGCTGGAATATCCACATACCCTGTCTGCCCATTGTGGGATTTGTACAAGAAGTGTGGGTTGACTGCATCTAGGATGCTCCAGAATTATGCAGGTTTTAGGGCAGTGAAACACACAATTAAATATTTAAGTAATCCAGCACACTATGATTCTTTTTCCCTTAATGCTGGAGAGATTTTAAGGGTACAGATGACAAGAGGCTACTACATTTTCAGAGAAAATCAATAGTTTTAACAGTCAGCTTTTGGACAATCTTCAGTTCAATGCTTTTAACCTCAATACAGCACACAGTTCTCTCCAAGAGTGATACAGATCACAAATCTTAAATACAAAGTGCTTCCTGAAGTGAACAATCTTCAGATAACAAGAAAGGGAAGGAAGACCATTTTTCTACACTTAGAAATAACACTTTTGAAAAGACCCTAAATTTCTTCCATGCGATTAAAGAGTCATTTTAATTTTGTTTTTGTTTATAGTGCAGTATCATGCTGTTCTGCAGTATCCCACCCTCAGTTCACGGATGAAGGATAATATCTTAAGAGATAAGCTGTTATGAGCCCTAGCTCTGCACATAACATACTATTAGAAATAACCAGTATCTATGATTAGTCAGAGATAATAGAAGATATCATAAAACCTGAAGATCATATTTTCTGTTACGATAAATAAGGTAAGCCTTTCCACTTAACACACCCCCTCCCTCCTCAGATTTGCTGCATATGAATATTCCTGTTCCGAATTTCTCTTTGGAACTTCACATTAAATTTCTGTTTACTAGGCCATAATTCTGTCTGGTATCTGAAACAATTTGGCACAAAATTCTTACCTGCAAAAACTCTCTGACATTTGAGCCCAAGACACGTAGAATTGTATCATAACCAGATTCTTGACAAAACACAAAAAACATCTTCCCAAACATTTGAAGAATTTCCCCAGCATTTAGATCTAGTTAAAACAGGAAAATATGATTCAGCCCAAACACTCTATTTCATGCACTTGCTTATTTCTTTAATCTTGTATTCATAAACACTACCCAGATGCAGTAGGTCAAGAACAAAGCAAGATTCAGGGTTCACATGGCAAATACTGAGTATGCTATAAAACCTGAGTGTTCTATACTGAGAAATCTAGGAATTTCATTAGGATTTACAAATTACCATTATTACTTCACTGCAGTGTATGTTTCACACACATATAGCGTTTAGATTTTGATACAGAAGAATTAATCACTTACTGAAAATAAAGGAAGTTGGTTGTTAGTAGTGCTCGCCTCAGCAGAGTTAATTCCAATTTACAATAGCATGAAACCACATCAGCTGCTCCAATTCAACATTACTAGAGTAATCAGTCTTATAGATTCTTGGCTAATTACTGATGCAGAATGATTTCATACCACACTTGGGTCTGCAGATGAAATAATGCTGATGGGCATAGTTCTACCTTTTAAATTTCAGACCAGAGCTGCAATGATTGAAAATGAATGCAACCCAAATCAATGGCTGATATGCAATTAAATGAAATATGTCCACCAAATGAAATATGTGCACAAGCATTTCTGTGACTTAGTACTGTTCTTCAGCAGAGATCAAGGATTCATTCATTCATTCATTCATTCATTCATTCATTCATTCATTCATTCACTGCCCTTGCAGCAGTGGCTGGAACTTGGGTGTATTGGAAGGCAGTTGCAGCAAGATGTTGTTACTTCACGACTGCTTGTTACACTGCCCACGTTGTGTGGATGAGGTATATTTCTCCAGTTTAAGACGGAATACTTTGGAAATAATAAAAATAAATGCAAGCAATAAAAGGAGTAGAATTTTCTTATAGAAATAAGAAACACAACTCCTGCTCCTAAGATTAAAAAAAAAAAAATCTCTGACCAATACTCTGTTTTCACTTTCCCTGTGCTAAACCCTGTTCCTTTCTGCTACACAGACTGGGGAGCAGGAGAGTATTACCTTTTTTGTGATGAATGGGCAAAGAAGATATCTGTATTACTTACTAAGGACCTTGCTTGCAGCTGCAACGAGATCATAGGTTTTGGAATCATCGTAAATTATTCTGACCAGAAACTGTCCCTCTTCATCCAGCTGTGCCTCCTTCCTAAAAAGAAAATATTTTTGTTTGAGGGAAAAGCACCAAATGGATAAAAGTCTTTTAAATAAAGTAAGTTTGTAGAGTTAGTTAAGACAGGAAATCAGAAATAAATTTGTTCCGTATCTCAGTCATTAGTGTACAATACGAATACTTCAGACCACAAGTGTTCTGAAAATACTTAGCTACAAGCAAATAAACGTAATTTTTCAGTACAGAGTCTCAAAAAGAAGTTGCTGTAAAGACACAATTTGCATTTTAAAATAAGAGACTATCCAATAATGCAGTCCACGATGGGATCTTGAAACACTTTTTATGCTTTTTCACTCTGTCACATTTTAATTACACTTTATTTACAAAAGGCGTGGGATGTTGCTAACAACCATTTGCACATCTGTCCAAAGAGTAATTTAAAATACAGATGCAGGTACCAAACCAAGTATCTTTTTTCAGAATTCTGCACATGCCCAGTAGATAGGAAGAAAAAGGATGCTAGGATTTTGCAAGGCCTTGTTCCCACATTATACATGAATTCTCATGTGTAAAGTCTCACTACTTAGTTAAAGCACAATAAAAATATACATTTCTTCTCTAAAGGAAACAACTCTCTACCCCAAGTTTAAGACAAGACTCATATATATGTCCTGTGCACACTTACTACTGCTACTAAGTAAAAAAAAAAGAAATAAAATTACTGCTTTTTTTTCAGACCATTTACTATTCTCTTCAACTTGATCATCAAGTCAGTAGCTTGTCCAAAAGGCAGCACTTTTTTTTTCTTTTTAATTTTTTTTTGTATTTTTATACTGAGGAAAACAAGTTAATCCTGCAGACAATGAATGTACCGTCATGCCTTCTAAGCTTTGCATTTGGCACAAGTGAGTTCCTAAGAAGGACCCAAAAATTACTTCCTCCCTGTTTTACCTCATCTGCACAGCACAGGAACCAGGCCATGGTGCTGCAGGAGCAGCTGAGTCCCAGCTCTCTTGAGAGGCGGATAGGGAGCATCTCCATGGACAGGGAGAACCCAGGACACTGAAGAGCCAGCTGCCCATGTGGTTTGTCCTGCTGTGCACAGATAATGCCATGTCTCTTCCCAGTTTCAAGTAAAGCAGTATTCTGCATTTGCTCTTATTTCCCTTGCAAATTTACCTTCAGCAGATGAAGAGCTGTGCAGAGAGGCCTACTGTGTTCTCTGATGAAGTCGTGCCTTGTTTGTTGAAGTCCTCATCTGGAAAATGAGCACAGCCTCCTTTCTCAGTATGTTTTTAAAAACAGGCCTTCACCTCCTGTGGTGCTGCCTAGAATGACTCTCTATAGAGACAGTGTGCTTTGCAGAAATAGTGACAAAAGAGGAGACATTTGTAAGTGCTCATGCTCTAACTGATGCACTTAGAATGTATTTTGACTCAGCAAAATTAATATGATCATGGCATCATTAGTATATTTGCAGGTGGAGGGTCACAACTACCTCATTAAAAACGAATCATACCCTTTCTTCTAAATATATCTCTATGCTGCAGCTCATTTCAGGAAGTCGAAAGGCAAAGAGACAGGAAAGCCTTGAAGTGAATTACTGAATCACATCTTACATCACACCAAAAAAAAAGAAAATCAGTACACAATGTTGCTCTTCAGAAAAAGCTCTTGGAATTATAAAAAAGGCAGATGATGAGGTAGGTTTTTAAAAAAATCTAAGCACAAGGGATGCAAATCAAGACATTTACCAACTTGGTAGTAGCATAATTATTTTTCTGATGCACAAACAAAAGAGGACAGTGAGTAAACAATTATTTACTAGCACCATGGTAATGAAGAGCTATTACCAGAGTATGACTGGTAAACTGAGTAAATCCAAAGAAATGCTCTTTGAGATACAGCTCAAGCCTAAATTGCCAGTATTTCTAACTTCTGAATTTCTCTTGGTCAGAGGAATTATAAAGACCCACAAAAAGTAAAATTCTAAATCTACTATATAAAATCCTGCATCCCCTTTTACATCAAATACTTTCTCTCCATTATCATAACATAATCAACCATAAATTAAAACCAAATTCTTTGACCGTAACTCAGGTTTTAATTTCCTAAGGTGGTGTCATTGATTTTTCAAATTAACTAATACAAAATAATAATGCCTGCAGAACAATTCAAGCATTTACAGATGTAGAGGAATTATCCATCCATAGAAACAGAAACTTTTCCTGAGGTACTCAAAGAGGAGAGGTCTGAGAATTAAGTACTCTTGTTGATCTTAAAACTGCTAGATGGTAAATGGTACTGCTGAGAAGGATTGATTCCAATCTAATATGGCAGTATTCTATTGACCTAAGTGAAATGACTTGTCATTTAATCCTCCAGTTTGTAATCACCAGTCTTTGATAATCTGTTCACTCAGTGGATATCTGGAACCCATTATTTTCTTTTTCCTCTTCATCTTCCATTAATCTTGCTCCTCACATTCTTCCCACTGTCCAAAAATTACGTAACATTGGTTTTACATTCCAAAAATAGATTATTTATTAATAACTAAAGTATTGTAACTGTTAGCTGAAATAAATATTTTTAAACTCACTCAAAGAATGATGAACTGAAAACAAGCTAAGCAATTTTCCTAAAGGAATATGACAAAGCTATATGGGAGGTGCAATTGAATACCCCTCATCATTCCACATAAAAGAAACATCATTCTCTATGCAATGACATGAAAAGTATTATAATAACCTTAATTAAGCAGGGTCTTAAGCAAGAGGAGAGGTGGAATTGTTAGTGGGAAATGATTTCTTGAAAAGTAAGATCAATCAGGGACAAGAAGGTAAAGTTTACATTTCCGAAAAACAGAACTGAAATGCATATGAGAAAAGAAAACCATCTTGATTCTTCGACTCTCACACCATGGTATGTAACAAGTCAACTACAGTTTGGAGGTTTGTTTGCAAAGGATGAACAAACTTTCCCACATCTATGATACATGCTGCACTTTCTTTTAGTCTCTCTGCTCTGAGCCAAACCACAAAGGATAATACACACATCTGGAAAAGCAATGAACATCCTCAAAAATCCTGGATACTTGCACAGTCTAGTAGACACAGCTTTTCTGTGTGAGAATTTTCTCTATGAAAAATTGACCCAGTTTGATTATGTTGGTATGTCTTTCAAAACTTCTTGTACTTCTTTCCAACTACATTGACTGGAACTTTTCCTGTTTACTTCTCTGTGCCAAGCCATGCTTCTTTTTTTCTTATTTTATTTGTCTTTAGTTTACTTTGTCAAAGTTTTTCTTCAATATCTTCAATTTCTCTGAGCCACCACTTTTTAAAATCACCACTGGTTATTTCAGCCTATTCCATTTAATTATTTTAGCTTTTTTTTTTTTCAAGTTTGCTCTAGATCCTTTGTATCACTCAGCAGCCATCTACTCTATAGTCTTACTGATGTATCTCCCATTAAAAATATTTTTAAGTTGAGCAACATTTTCTAGAAAATTTGTCAAAGTAAATATTTACTCCTGCAGGGGATTACACTTCTCAGTTAAAATCATGCAGGCAAAAATTTCTTTGCTTGCTCTACAAATTTGGCAAATACCATGACAGTGGCTAATCTAAGCCTGTGTCGAAATATAAACTGCTTTTTTAAGATTCATGCTTGAAAATTATTAAATTTCAGAACTTTCTTCTTCCTTTCCAAGTCAATTCTTTCTCTATATCTCTAAGATCTGTTGTGCTGGTACATTCCAGTACAATTTAGATAGGCATTGAGCTGAAATAAAATTCAGTTAGATATCTGTTTTTCTGTATTATGTTTCTGGTAGATTAATTTCCCTGTCTGCTCCATCAACCTGTTCACATAAGTTGTTCTGCATACAGACAACATGTTGGCCAGAGTGACTGTGGACAGGCTTCTGAAGCCCTTCTACTTCCCTCAGAAATCTTAACAGCAGTGAGAGCTTCCAAAAGTCTTTCTCTCCAAAATACTAGTCTTAAGACTGTATGTAATGGGAAAATGCTGCTGTGAGTTTATCCAAAATGGCCAATGCAAAGTGAAATCAATCCTATTTTTTCAGAGTCACTGGTCATTCATCAATTCTACAAAATAGCAGGGCCTCTAATGAACTTGTCTGAGAGAGCAATCAACAGCTATCCTCACCAGAGGGGCAGACCATGACAGACCTCCAGCAGCCCAGGAAACAGAGCAGTGTCATTCAGGTGAATACCTAAAATTGTTTCCTCACAGCTGCAGTTTTCCCACCTAATGACCTGACCCTACCTGATTTCTCAAAGCTGCCTGAACTTACAACAAGGAAATGGTTTTATAACAAGGGTGATAGGAAGAAATATATGATAGTGTCATGAAAATTGTTATAATTAATGCTAAGAGTGAGGCTGCTTTTGTCAGCTTTGCAGAGCTGCTGTGGACAGCAGTCTATCAACCGTAATTCCTCACATTTGTATTTGGCTGACTGCATTTCAGAGAAAATTTCATAATCCGCATGTGCTGGTTTGTATAAATTTATTTTTTTTGTAAGGAAGGAAAGGAACCGGTTATAATAATAATTCCCTGTAAGGACCTTGGCAGCTTCCTTCACACCTGACAAAAAAACAGTCATTGGCTGATTTTTAATACTGACACATTGTTACACCAATGAAAAAGTTAGATGCGCCTTTGTGAACACACATGTGAAGATGAAGAAAGCCAGGAATCTCTCCTTCCCTTCTGGCCTCAATACAGTAACAGGCTGGCCAGGTCCCTCCATGCAGTCGGGCCAGGCTGGGCGGGGTGGGCTCCGCCGCAGGGCCAGGATCCTTCTTGGCAAGCCTGCCAGGCCCTGTCCTAAAGGGCCAGGCCCTGCCTCTGCAAAGCAAAGGCACCCATGCTAAACAAGCAGATGCTGAAGTAGCTGTGATTTGATGAGAAGTTTGAACAGCAAGTGAGAGAGAGAAGAGTGATGAAGACCCTTTGCCCCCAGGGAAGAAGATCTCTGTTCCCAGTGATGAAGATGATCTTAGAGTTAG